ATCAGAACCTTCCTAAGTCAAAATTGAATCGCACCCAGACAGGAGCGAATAGTCAATATAAGGTTGAAGAGGGAAGGAAATCAAGAGCACGGCGAACTGCAAACGTAAGCAAAAAGCCGGGAACAACACCAGCCCAGCAACAGCGAGTGGGGCTTCGACAGGCCATAAAGTAGAATAATAACTCCCGGGGTCAGGGGACACAAGAAGAAGCAGGCAGACAAAAACCAGAACTGACTCCAAGGTTCAACCGCCCTCACCTACTCAGGAGTGACGGAAATTAATGAGGCCTTGAGTTAACGACGTCAGCTGGACTGCAACAACAACGGCGAGCAGAGATAGGGTGGGGCAAAGACTGCGGACTATGGAATGCAACTTCGTGTCAGTAAAGCCCTGACAAACAAGTTAAGTTAAAGACATCACAATACATAATATCGCACATAACATCAATGTTAACGCTATTCACCGTAAACTATATTCCGCTTATATAACCATCCAGGCACCAAGGAATACGAATTCCTAGGATCAAGAAACTACCCCTTAACCTAAGATATCGGAAATAAATTAATAGTAATAAGTATATGCATGAAAGACAAAAGTTAAACTTATGAAAAGCCAGGATAACGGGATGAATCACCACCAGGTCGAATATAAATACATAATAAAAAAAAAACAATGTTAAACCCAGGGTCGGAGAGAAAGGGAGATCCCGGCCGTCTTTGTATTCCCGCAGCGCGGGATAGGAGTGTGTGTACGCTCGGGGAAACACCTACACTTGGGTCGGGAACCACGATGGGAAACGACAGACCTTAGGTTACATACAGAATCATAACTGTGAAATAGTAAGGGACAAATGTTAACTTAAAACTTTTAACCATTTCTTTGTGCGCCGGGTCGGAGAGAGTGTTGCCCCCCTCCAGGTTGTGCAACACGAACAAAGACGCCTATGAGACGATTTGTAACGTCTGTGTTTTGGGTTCATGAAGAAGGCCAGACAAGAGATAAATTGCACCCAGACAGAGAGACGACTTCGAGACAATTTGTAACATCTGGTTGTTTGCTCGTGGGTTTTATGGAGGGAGTTGACAACGGAATATACCGTCAGTGATGCACACAAGGACATACGGACACACACATGGACACACCTGCCTACGGACAGATCCTGACACAGCAAAAATCGGAAGCCCCGCCTTGTGGGCGGGATCCAGGGGGATTTTTCAGCATAAAGGAACGGATCCTGAACATTGGAAACCAGTGCGACGGGAGGGTCCACTCAGAAGCTCGACCGGGAGGGTCGACTCAGCAGGAGTGCGACGGGAGGGTCCACTCAGAAGCTCGACCGGGAGGGTCGACTCAGGAACGAGTGCGACCAGAGCGGGTCCACTCAGGAGTGCGACCAGAGAGTCGACTCAGGAGCGAGGGCGACCAGCGGGTCGACCCAGGAGCGAGCTCGACCGGGAGGGTCGACTCAGGAGCGAGCTGCGACCAGCGGGTCGGCTCGACTCATCTTCAGCTCGTCAATCTCTGCTGCCGCCGGAGATCTCCGCTGCCGCCGGTGGTGAGCGTCGCGACTTGGCGACGATCCAGCGCTGCACGCTACGAGCGAGTTGTGGGCGCCACCTACCGACCGGGTTCCGAACTGCGACAGCGTATCAACAGCCATCCGACAGGGGAGCGATGGATACGTATGACGCGCACCGCCCCCTCACCACACGACCACCAGGCGTCTGTTTGACCTAAAGAATCGACTCCGAACACTGACTATTCAAGACAACTCTTACCACTCAAACACACTCGAACCCATAAGCCATCCGTGGCTGGAAAGCATCACAACGAGACCGAGTGGTGGCCATCCGTCGTTTATAAGAGTATTCTTAATTTTTATCTTTAATATTTAGTGGGCTGTACTCTTAATCGCATAAATTCCCAACAGATCCATCAATACGAACTGATTCTTGGCACCTCCTTCCGCCGAGCCACGCTCACGTGGGGAGTGGTGGCCCACCGGACCCTTATCAGGTGATCTGGTCCCCAATTAGTAAACTTGGTATAAGATAACGATCTTCGGAAAAGGAGCACCATCGCAGGCCCTTACTCCGAGCCGTTCTGAGATAACCTGCCGATGTATCTGTTGAGATTGGTGCCTTTAAGAATAATAACTGTTTTGATTGTGTTTTTGTTTATCGCCGTATAATCTTTCAAGTATCTTTCAGTCATAATCGCCGCACGTACTCGCATCCTCTACAGAATATTCAACTGTTCCGTGACCCAAGGTGTTAACAACGTGATAAGGGTTGCGTATGATCAATAAGGAGTGCGGTACTGCGTGAACAATATTGAGTATAATCATTCATTAACGTTAAGGTTTTCTTAGCATAATATTTGCATATTTCAACGACTCTCTCTCTCACTAACAACCATCGCGTTATGCGGGATCCATGTGCAGTTGTCAAAGTGAAATCAGACAATCGTTGATGATACTGTATTGATGCCGTATTGACGTTCCGGGATTGAGAGTTCGCATACTATATCATAGTTAAGGTTGAATTAGTAATAAATTGATCAATACAGAAGTGGTTGTGTGATTCTTTCCTGAAATCTATGCATAAGATCTGCTTCTGCGTTGAGATTTGAACTTGGTGACCTTAATAAACACACTAATACATACTCAGTAAATGTTAAAGCGATAACGGGGTGAACCGGGGTCTGGTTATCATAACGACTTGCGTTATCATAATTACACCCACTCGCATAATTAATACGATTACCTCTCGAATTGGCATAATTAAAATGTGCGTAATTACATAAATTAACATATTTCCGGATAATTACACATTTGGCCAAATTTCATTTAATTATTATTATTTCCACTGAATATTCATAACCCACATATACAACATAATAATTTCACCCACGCACGCATACAACATAACAAATTTTCATACCCAACATATACAACAGTGTACACACACACTTGTAGAGGTAACTTCTTTATTACAACACTCCAACAGTACTCCCAACAGTCCTGATACTCTGTTAAAGCCAAGGTACACAGCCTAGCTACACAGCCTAGATACTCTACTCTGGCTACGCTCCGGAACTCGCCCTCACAAGGTCGTAGAGTCGGGAGTTCCAGAGTCCCAGCACTGGCTCTCACAGCATCCCAGGGTCTTCAGATGGCTGGTCGTGGGTCTTGGGTCTTGAGTTACAACTGGGCCCCGATCGTCCAGGGAGCTCCCCTTTTATGCCTGGTCCAACGAGGGGTGGGGCCGTGTGCGCCACCAGACATCCCACAGAGCACACACAGCCCCCCCCCCGTTGGCGGCACCCAGAGGCTTAAGCGTCTGGACCCCCTGGGAACCCAGCGCCTGGCGCCCAGAGGCTTAAGCGTCTGGACCCGCCCGGGAACCCAGAGCCCCCAGCAGCCCCTCCCTTCTTATGTCACTACAGATGTATAAGGGCACGGGGTGACCAATAAGGTCAGAATTGGTCTGTGTGCTTTAGAGAGGGAGGCGGGGTTATTTATTAATTAAATATAGCGCCGATACGTGGAACGCTACGCGTGTTGCAATCAAGACGGGCGCTTAAACGAACACAAAAATCAACGCGCTAATTAGGTAAATGTTCTCGATTTAAAGCTTTCGTGACTGCAGGGATTCATCTTCTTGGTTCTTTCGGTAAAGTCATCACGTAGAAGGGAAGTAATACCATAATAAAAATTAAACATAATTAAATAATCCGAGCGTGCTCCCTATTTCAAAGACGATGAGTTGCTCCAGAGACAAATGCTTCCGGAAACACAAAAAATTAACCCGTAAAAACAAAGTTTTTCACTATAAATCCTTTATATGCGTGGCGGCGAGAGTCCTCTCGTCCTCTGGCTTGATATGGCTGCCACCTATGGGTCAGATGATTGTCTGCCACCATTAAGCAATTGGTAATTAAATATTTAAAAAAATTTCCCTAAACAGTGTAAAATTTTGGAAATTTTTCACGAAAATTAATTGTCACGCACAACGAGTCTGTGTGCAAAATGTCAGCTCGATTGGATCATGGGAAGTGGGTTAAAAAACGACCGAAAGATTTGCACGGTCCTAAGCAAGCAAGCGAACTTAATATAAAGGATTTAAACAAGTATAACCCGTAAAAACAAAGTTTTTCACTATAAATCCTTTATATGCGTGGCGGCTAGAGTCCTCTCGTCCTCTGGCTTGAGATGGCTGCCACCTATGGGTCAGATGATTGTCTGCCACCATTAAGCAATTGGTAATTAAATATTTTTAAAAACTTCCATAAACAGTGTAAAATTTTTGAAAAAAAATTTCACGAACATTAATTGGCACGCACAACGAGTCTGTGTGCAAAATGTCAGCTCGATTGGATCACGGGAAGTGGGTTAAAAAATGACCGAAAGATTTGCACGGTCGTAAGCAAGCAAGTGAACTTAATATAAAGGATTTAAAACTACCCTTTGAGCTGTATCACAAGAACAACGGGTCTCACCTGAGTTATCTGTACAGGTTACTTCCAAAAACACACACTTTGTCCTAACATCACTTATTCAATGTTTGACCCTTGTAAATAAAATGTTGCATGTACACAAAATCAGTGTTCATTCTAAATTATTGACAGACATTTTACATTTTAACAAAATGTAATTACTGCAGTGAAATATACTGCACCAGGTTACATCGTATTAAGCTATTTTAAATAATTATGCACCGTCTGCTTAACAGTGGATGTAAAACATACTATTGTGTCATTCAAAACGAGTAGGCCATTGCATGATTGCGTCTTGAGTCAAAATGTAGATAATTCTAAACATTACCGACAATTCTAGATTTGAAGCTTTCGTGACTGCAAGGATTCATATTCTTAGGTTTTTTCGGTAAAGTCACGTCGTGAATTTTGAAGTGTTTCTCTCCCGTGTGCGTTCTCTCGTGTCTTTGAAGATGTTCTGACCGTGTAAACGCCTTCCCGCACAGAAAGCACCTGAAGGGTTTCTCTCCTGTGTGTGTTCTCTGATGTTTTTTAAGATCAGATGACTGTGAAAATGCCATGCTACACACAGTGCACTTGAAGGGTTTCTCTCCTGTGTGTGTTCTCTGGTGTTTTTTAAGAACAGATGACAGTGAAAATGCCTTCGCACACACACTGCACTTAAAGGGTTTCTCTCCCGTGTGTATTCTCTGGTGTCTTACAAGAGTAGATGAATGTGCAAACGCTTTCCCACACACACTGCACTTGAAGTGTTTCTCTCCCGTGTGTGTTCTCTGGTGTTTTTTAAAAGAAGATGACAGTGAAAATGCCTTCCCACACACAGTGCACTTGAAGGGTTTCTCTCCTGTGTGTATTCTCTGGTGGGTCTGAACAACAGATGCTTGTGCAAACGCCTTCCCGCAAATTGTGCACCTGAAAGGTTTCACTCCCGTGTGTGTTCTCTGATGTATTACAAGATTATGTGACTTTGCAAAGGATTTCCCGCACAGAATGCACCTGAAGGGTTTCTCTCCTGTGTGTGTTCTATGGTGATTTTTAAGAGAAGATGACCGTGAAAATGCCATGCTACACACACTGCACTTGAAGGGTTTCTCTCCTGTGTGTGTTCTCTGGTGTTTTTTAAGAACAGATGAATGAGAAAATGCCTTCGCACACACACTGCACTTGAAGGGTTTCTCTCCCGTGTGTATTCTCTGGTGTCTTACAAGATTACGTGACTTTGCAAAGGCCTTCCCACACACAGTGCACTTGAAACGTTTCTCTCCTGTGTGTGTTCTCTGGTGCTGTGTCAAATTTCCAGTGCGCTCCGTGCTGTATGCACTCTGGTCGCATTGTTGCCTTGCCGTACCGAGCTGTGCTGACTGCCTTTGCTCCATTAGACCAATTCTGCAGAGGAAGCGTCGAAGGAAGCGTCAGCTGCAGACAGATAATAGGAATATCCACACCATTCTAGATTTGAAACTTTCGTGACTGCAAGGATTCATATTCTTAGGTTTTTTTCGGTAAAGTCACGTAGGTAAAACATTTAAATTAAAGTAAAAATGAACAAATTAAAAAATTCACGACGTTTCGGAAGCAACACAAGCCTCCATCTTCAGGTGGAACCGTCACAGCCACGACAGCTGTATCAAGTAAAAAAAAAAATACAGCTGTCGTGGCTGTGACGTTTCCACCTGAAGACGGAGGCTTGTGTTGCTTCCGAAACGTCGTGAATTTTTTAATTTGTTTTATTTTACTTTTATTAATTTACATTTTTTACCTACGTGACTTTACCGAAAAAAACCTAAGAATATATCCACTCCGGTATCGAGGCACAGAAGAACGCATATGTACAGTCACACGTGACTTACACGTCTATACTTATTCATATATTCATGATGTAGTAAAAACGTTACTCAAATTCATCACACGGGCTGTGATGGCAAACAATGAGAGAGCAAGTGGTCATAAATATGCCTGGGAGCCCTCGTATCTTAAAAATGAATGTTAACCCAAAACTCCGAGCACACAATTTCGGCTGTCTGGCTACAAAAGGAATATGTATAAAAGCTAAATTCAGCTGACATTGCAAAGGGGGTTGAAAACAATTCTATTTGTGCTATGCAGAAATGCATAAATTAACGTTCTTGAATGCTGGGATGAACAGATCCGAATTCAGCTGCATGTGCTTCCAGAGGGAAACAAAAATAAACTATTGTTTTGATATAACCTCCGTGTTCAACAGAGTTAATAGACTTTACTGCAAACACAAACTTGACACTGTCACACACTGGCATGGTTAACAGGTGGTGGTGTGTCCAGACCCATGCCTGGCCACCTTCATCTGCTCAGTATTAATGCTTCCTCACTCCACAAAGTAATTCATTGAGGATCAATCAACATAGCCGAGGCTAACTAGAGTTTGTGTCTCTCTCTCTCTCCATGGTGAGATGTTAACTACCTCGCCTGGTCTACAGGGAGTCGTGGGTTCGATCCCGACCCTGACGCCTGCTGCTGCTGCTGTATATTTGGAGTTTGCGTGTCTCTCTCCGTGGTCGCGTGGATTTTCCTCCGGATCTCCCGGGTTTCCCCTCCACATTTAGAGTCAACATCAGCACGAGTTTAGCCTCTTTGACCGATACACATTTCCACACGTATTCTTGGTTCTTTCGGTAAAGTCACGTAGATAGACAATAACAACAGATAATAACATCAAATAAATGCCACTTGTGTTGCGATGGAAACGTCGTGGGTTTTTTTATTTACAATTTTGTTTACTTTTATTAATTTTATTATGTTATTTTTACAAAATTTTCTATCTCCGTGACTTCACCGAAAGAACCAAGAATATGAATTGCTGCAGTTACGAAAGTTTTAAGTCAAAACACCGAGACACGCGTTCACAAAACCCCACCCACCCACCTTGTGTCGTGGGCAGGTAGCTTCTGTAAACAAGAGCGGTACAGCAGCTCAGGCGGGCTTGGGCTGGTAAAAAAACGAAAAAAAAACTGCGTTAATATCTACAGTAAACCAAAGTGACAAAGTAGCGAGCCGCGTGAAGACAAATTAAACTTAAGGGAGGGAATTAAAGCAAACGCGACCAGGCGAGGACAGGAGGCAAGGCCCCGCGTGTCTAGGCCCCGCGTTGTAAAGTTCCAACTTGGACATCGATTCACAAGCTGCTGCTGCTCTAGTGACATCCCTACGAGAGAGAGAGCGAGGCTCTAGCTTGGTAAACAACAACAACCACCACAACAACAACCACAACAACAACCACAACAACTGCGATGAGAATTTCTCACCTCGGATTTCACTGCACGCGCGAAGCTGCAGCCTGTGACGTCACGCGGCAGCAGGTGACATGACGTCACTCCCGGGGTACAAGCAACAGCCCCTCCCACAACGAGTGGCGACTCTAACTGACGTCATTAATACATTATGTTAATGTGTGGAGATCGAAACGTCGTGGGTTTTATGCTTTAATGAGTGACTTTACCGAAAAAGCCTAAGAGTATGAATCATTGCAGTCACGAAAGCTTCAAATCTACAATTTAATAAGCGACTTGATCGAAAAAAGCCTAAGAGTATGAATCATTGCAGTCACGAAAGCTTCACATCTGGAACTCATCATGGATGTGGCTGAACGTCACCGTGTAGGAGCCCAGCGCGTGACACCTTCACGCGCTGGGCGAGTGGCGCAGTCTCGCTTCCCATGCGAGAGGTCGCGGGTTCGATCCCCGCGTCCTCCGCAGGCGAATATTTTTTAAATCCTTTATATTAAGTTCGCTTGCTTGCTTGAGTGCTTGCTTGCTTACGACCGTGCAAATCTTTCGGTCGTTTTTTAAACCCACTTCCCGTGATCCAATCGAGCTGACATTTGGCACACAGACTCGTTGTGCGTGACAATTAATGTTCGTGGAAAAAAATGTCCAAAATGTTACACTGTTTAGGGAAAACAAATTAAATATTTAATTACCAATTGCTTAATGGTGGCAGGCAATCATCTGACCCATAGGTGGCAGCCATCTCAAGCCAGAGGACGAGAGAACTCTAGCCGCCACGCATATAAAGGATTTAGAGTGAAAAACTTTGTTTTTACGGGTTATACTTATTTTACATTTATTCAAATAGAAAACGTTACACATTTGGTGAGTCCATTGGGCAAGGCACTGACCGCTTGATTGGGATTTGCTGTTTATTAAAAGAAACATTGTTGATCGAAATTTTGCTTTCATGGCTTTATTTTGGTGATTTCGAAAAGTGTATTGGTTTAGCCATGTTTGTTTGTTGTAGTACAGAGTTAGACTGATGGCCATAATCTAAGTTGTCTTATTGTTGTGGTTGTTGTTGTTGTTTGACTTGCATCCCACTGGGATATTTGCACACAGCGTTGGTGTGTACGGTGTTTTTTTCTGCAATATTTTGCTGTCTTTTCTTGGATTTTCTGTTTGCTCTTAGTCACATATAGTCACTTTGAGATTTTTTTTTCATGTCTTTGTTTTTTGTTTGTTGCGGTTGCACCCGATTCAAGAGCCGAATGGCTCACAGGGCTACACCTAATACATGAACTTGAACTTGAAAGCTTCATATCTAGAACTCATTCATGGATGTGGCTGAACGTCACCGTGTAGGAGCCCAGAGCTTGACACCTTCACACGCTGGGCGAGTGGCGCAGTCTCGCTTCCCATGCGAGAGGTTGCGGGTTCGATCCCCGTGTTCTCCACAGGCGATGCGTTCACTTCTCTTACACACTCGTGGCAATGATCACCGTCAATCTATTACAAATGTTTCCATAAGTTTCAACCTCCCACCCCCCCACATTCAGACTCTGTCTTCTCGACAGAGAACAGGTCTGTCGAGAAGACAGAGTCATTCAGACGCTGTCTTCTCGACAGAGAACAGGTCTGTCGAGAAGACAGAGTCATTCAGACTCTGAGACCCATAGAAGCACTCACACACACAGAGCGAGCCATAGACTCATCACACACACAGAGCCATAGACTCACTCACACACAGAGACCCATAGACTCACTCACACACAGAGAGAGAACCATAGACTTATCATCACACAGAGAGGGCCATGGACTCATCACTCACACACAGAGAGCCATAGACTCATGACACAGAGACCCATAGACTCACTCACACACACAGAGCGAGCCATAGACTCATCACACACACAGACCCATAGACTCACTCATACAGAGAGGCACAGACTCACACACACACACAGACCCATAGACTCACTCACACACAGAGAGAGCCATGGACTCATCACACACACAGACCCATAGACTCACACACACAGAGAGCCATAGACTCACTCACACACACAGACCCATAGACTCACTCACACACACAGACCCATAGACTCACTCACACAGAGAGCCATAGACTCACTCACACACAGAGACCCATAGACTCACTCACACAGAGAGAGAGCCATAGACTCACAGATGGTGGGTGGTGATGGTGGGTGGTGATGGTGGTGATGGTGGTGATGGTGGTGGTGGTGATGGTGGTGACAGTGGTGGTGGTGGTGGTGATGATGGTGGTGATGATGGTGGTGATGGTGATGGTGGGTGGTGGTGGTGGTGTTGATGGTGGTGGTGGTGATGATGGTGGTGGTGGTGATGGTGGTGGTGGTGGTGATGGTGGTGATGGTGGTGATGGTGGTGATTATGGTGGTGATGGTGGTGGTGATGATGGTGGTGGTGATTGTGGTGATGATGGTGGTGATGATGGTGGTGATGATGGTGGTGATGGTGGTGATGGTGGTGATGATGATGGTGGTGGTGGTGATGGTGGTGATGATGGTGGTGGTGGTGATGGTGGTAGTGGTGATGGTGGTGATGACGATGATGGTGATGGTGGTGGTAGTGATGATGGTGGTGATGATGGTGATGGTGGTGGTGATGGTGGTGATGGTGATGGTGGTGATGGTGGTGGTGATGGTGATGGTGGTGGTGATTGTGGTGGTGGTGATTGTGATGGTGGTGATGGTGGTGATGGTGGTGGTGATGGTGGTGGTGATGGTGATGGTGATCATGGTGGTGGTGATGGTGGTGGTGGTGATGATGGTGGTGATGGTGGTGATGGTGGTGGTGATGGTGGTGATGGTGATGGTGGTGATGGTGGTGGTGATGGTGGTGGTGGTGATGGTGGAGAGAGAGAGAGGAAGAGAGAGTTGCGAGGGGAGAGACGGGGCAGACTTTTGACTTTTTAAACAACTTTTAATGCCGCCAGCAGCAGCAACAGCACTGGAGGCGATTCCGATATGAAATGCACAAAGTCACCAGCAAACAAATAAAACAAACGCTACAAATCTATGCGCTATGGCGCTAAAAGCACCGCGCACAACACGAAAGAAAAGTCACGTGGTGGTTGGTGGTGGTGGTCATCGCGCACGCCACGGTGACGAGCGAGCACTTCAGAAGGTGAACACCACGAGGGTGCCGTCCACGCTGGTACAGAGAGGGGCTTGTCCGGCTCCCAAGCGTAGGGACCGGAGTTCAGAGAGAGGTGGATGCAGGAGGGTGTGTGGGTGGCGTAGGTGGAGAGAGTAGAGAGAGAGAGGCAGAGCGAGAGAGAAACAAGGAGTTGGGGAGAGAAATACAAAGGGGAGTGGGGTGGGAGGTAGACAGATGGAGCGAGAAAGGAAGGAAAGAAGGGTACAGTGGAGGGGAGACACGGAGAGACACGGGGAGGAGACACGGGGAGACTATCCTGTTCTGCCAAGCATGACGGATGTGGACCCTGACTCGCTCTTTCCGTGTCCCTACGACCCCAGCCACATCGTGTGCGCGAAGCGCTACACCCATCACGTGGCCAAGTGTAGCCTGACGCACAAGAAGGTGGCGCAGAACATGCGCACGTGCCCACTCAACGCACGCCACCGGATACTGAGGAGGAGTAACGTGGCCGAGCATCTGGCGCAGTGCCCCGACCGGACGGTCGACGCGAGGGGCGGCCGCGTGCGGAGAGAGGAGATGGTCATTCTTGGGTGCCGCAGAGCAGCGGGGAGGCACAGCCGTGCCAGGAGGATTGGGACGCAGAGATGGAAGAAGATGCCGAGAAGCAGCCTTACATCTGGGGAATATCCGCAATGCCCCGCAGTAAGACGACAAGACCGCCACGGGATATGGCCGTGTTCGCCGTGCCCGACTCTCTGCCACCGCTGGCCTC